AGAAATTCCTTGTCTAGGGGGACGTATGTAATCAAATTGTTGCTCTCCTGGTACCCAGGCAGCAGGAGAGCAGTCTTTGACTGATCAGTTGAGAGAAAATACAAGATGGAAAATGAGAGAATTACTTTTTATCATCAGAGAGATTTTCCTTAGAAGTCACTTGTGTACTCAGTGAACTTAGATAAAGATTTGACTATAAATTTTATTTCCTCACTTGTAATATGGAATAATAATGGCTCTAGAAAAGGAAGATAAAATGCTGAAAAGTAAATAGAATATAAAATTCTGATCCTCAGTCACACCAGCCACATTTGAAGTGCTCAATAGCCACATGTGGCCAATGGCTGCCATATTGGACATCACAGATGTAGAACATTTCCATCATTGCCCAAAGTCCTATGGACAGCATTGGTCCCATTAGCCTCATTTCAATATTCCCCCAATGAGACAAAATAGTGAGGCAGAGCTACATAACATAAAGAAAATGGAAATGTAGTGCTATTTTAGAGAAAGACTATATTTATGTAGGCAGCATCTTACTTTCTTTATTTGGAGAAGAGTTTCCTGGAGTAAATCATTTTGATTCTCAAAGCTAAATCACTCTGATGTTTCCTTATGACCTTCTGTCGTTTTTTGTTGTTGTTGTTAAGGTATTTGTTTCTTCAACTCTGCAGTCTTATTTTACTACTTAAAAATTACATGCTGTGAGCATAAATGGTGCAGCACAAAAAATGGAAAACCTGGATTTGTTTAATGTTCCACAGACAAAATAATCAAACGCTGGAACATTGTTGAAGATTGTACACATTTTTATATTTATTCACACAAAAGCTCACAGTGCGTCTGCCAACTTCCCCTTCCTCAGAGGGTCCCTGGGCTCAATGTAATGTGAAAGGCTCTCATTTCAAGATTGCACTCTGTGGTTTATTCAGTAGAGGTCTGCCCTTAGGCTGAAGTACGGGGCATGCCATCTATGTTCCAGGGTTTCACAGGTTCCACAAAGACGCCTGCTCAAAATTCACCTCCCAACACAGTTGAAAGGGAGTAAAATCTCACCATGGGTATTTTATTCCTGTTGTCCAAGGCTTCATTGTCTGATGGGGTCACATTGAGTTATACCAATCTCTTCCTTATCCACATGAAAAATTATTTTGTGATAGCTTGAAAAGGATCTTACAGTTCATATTTTCAAATGCTAATTTTCTTTAAATCCTTCAATAGTTTTCTTTAGCCCAGGAATTAAACCAAAACTTTGATCTGTTTACCAACACTCATGCTATTGCTTGACTTTCAAAATCCTTATTCTACTTCTTCTAGTTTAAATTTTACATTTTTGTTACCATTTCTGAATTTCTGTTCATCATCCACAGCAATTTTTTTCTACTTTTCACCTCATTTGTTGTATTCTTTATCTTAATCTAATACCTTCAATCTTTAGCATCTTTTTTATTCTTTATTTTTAGCTTATTTTATTATCAGTCAAACTTTTTAAACATGATTTGGTTCTAGCGTTTACTAGACTTTCATCATATTCTTGTTGGGATTTCAATTTTTAATTGTTTTCTAAAATTCTGAGTTTTATCTTATAAAATCTGTTAATGTTTTATTGTCCAAACCTTCCTAAGTGTTTATTACAATTCTCACATGGGAGGGATATCTTTCTGGTTTCAGTAGTAAATGGAAGGCGGCTTTTCTAAGTGATTCATGAACTAATGGGCACATGCTCCAGCCTAAGGCCAAGCTTTCCACTTGGGTCCTACGTCTTCTTTCTCTGACAAACTCATGACGAGATTCGCACCTTTTCTCCCTCTTACCTCCCGTCACTGAATCTATAAAAACTAAAAACAAACACCTCTTCTCTGACACCATATCATTGATCAGCTAATACTTCTTGTCTCTGCTTAGTTTTTCAGCAAAATCCTTTGGAAGGAGTGTCTACACAGTCCCCAAACCCTCTCATCCTTCTCTCGTGAGGTTGATACCATTCAAATTTGGCTTGTCCCCCATCTCTCCCCAAAATGACTCCTGTTGATCTGGGATCATAATGCATCCTGCATCACCCCACTCAGCTGTCCCTCCGCTCATTGTTGATCTGACCTATAATTATCTGGAAATGAGCAGCTGTTTTCAGGCAACCTGCTTGAAAGGACCGAGAGCAGACAGCCTGTTAACGTGGAGGAACCAACTGCAAGGTAGGTTTCAGGAGAGAGTCATCTGTTGATGAAGAATAGGTGAGAATACATGCATACTATTTAGAGAGTCAGTAAAAAGGAATGTTTTCAGTGTACAGGTATAGGAGATAGGAATGTGGACAAAAGCCTTCAGTCTATTCTTTCTTCTCTTTTATTATTATTATTATTATTATTATTATTATTGTTATTGTTATTAAAGTTACTGTTACCAGGGCAGGGAAGTAAAACACTCACCAATACTATGTAGGATTAAGTGTGGTTTATTTAAACAGACTACTAAAAGTGCTTACTATATTTTTTCATCAACATCAATAAACTAAAATAGATGTCTACTTAGCAAAAGATTCAAATGCTGATCCTAAGATTCAAAAGCTGATCCATTTTATTGCTAAGTTGTGTCTGGACAGAGAGAAAATGTCAGAAACATGTTTAGTTCACTTAAGATGGAAGAGAGGTGGGTTGGGGAAGACTAGATCAATGATAGACTGAGGGCGGGGAGGGGTGAGTGGGTGTAGGTGTTCACACAGAAAAACTCTAGGATAAGGCAAGTTAATGGGTTCTCACCAGACCCTCAAAACCCAGAAGATCATGCTTAGGCCAAAATATGAAATAAATTATTCATTGATACCTCAAGCTTGTTCCAAAAATGATTTGGCATTATCTTAGCGTGATGAGGGATTTCTAAAGAGTTGCTGGAGCCGTTTGTATCACCAAGAATGGGAGCCAAGAAAGCTCTCACAAGTTTCCTCCAAGATTCATAAATCTGTGATAATGCTATCTATATTAGTATAGCACTGTAAATTGTACATGGTTAGAGGTAAAATGTGTTTCCCCTTAGCATAAAATCAGCAGCAATACTAATTAAGTTGACAGGATTTCCAAATAAAAGAAGGTAGAGCTATCATTTCCAGTCACATCCTGCAACAGTCTCTAGGGTGAGAGAGGAAATTGGGCAAAGGATGAGATGGAAAGATAAACCAATGCCATTGATAAGCACAGCGTCCTAGGAGACCCTTTGGCAGTTGGCTATTTGCAGAGTGGCAGTGGAGACAGCACTGGAGAGAGAATCATCAGCTCCAAGGCTTTGCCAAACCTTCAGCAAAGAAACTTGCGCTCATTAAGGAGGAGGTTTTCTTAGAGACAGGATGGCAATATCTCTCAGATTGTCTGAGACAGTCCCAGTTGATGCCAGTTGTTCCAGCATAACTATTAATAATAAGTCCTTTACATTATAAAAAGTGTCCCAGTTTGGATGGTCAATGATTTGGTCAACTTGCTCAGGAAGCACCAACCTTTAGTCACATGATTTATGCCACATCTTTTCCTTCTTTGATAGGAAAAGGCAATTTAGAGTACTTTTTAATACACAACTCTCCACTCTTGCTCTCAAACTTGCACACACAAAGACACATACACACTTGTATATCTCACTATAGCTACTTTCCTCATCCAGGAAATTCTATCTTCCTTTTCTCAGCAGCAAAGACTGCAAAATAAGTAAAAATTTTGACAATGGATAGACAGAGTTCAAATCTAGTCTCTATCACTAGTTGTATAACCTGTATTTATGTACTAACGAGTGAAAATACCAATCTCTCATAGCAAGTGTGTGAACTAAAACATCATTTTTAGGATTCCAGTTACATAATAGGAGGTCAAGAAAAATGTGTCCCAGTCCCTCTTACTGGAGTTAAGGTTAAAAGAGGCACAATATTATTTAATTAAATTATGTAATTTTGTTCAGCTATAGTTGCATTTAACAAGTGAAATTCAATGGGGAATAATGTGTACATGCCTACAACTCTAGGTTCTTTTTTAAGATGATCTTTCTTTCATTCCAAACAATATCCAAAGTTTCTCTATCAGCCTCTAGTTACATGGGCTCAAAAAAGCATAATTTGACCTCATTCAAGTTTTAAAATTCAGTATTTTTCTGAGCCATTCAGCCTTGATGGAAGGAACTAACCTCTTAAGTGATTTCTAGGGCCCTGAAGTTGCCTAGAAATTCCTTCCCACAGTTGATGTTGAACCCCCAGCTGTGATCCCGGTTAAAACCCAACTCTCTGCATAGAGAGGTATTAGTCATCCACTGACTTCTCCTAAGTCCTTTTTCCTGAGACAAGGCATAGGAGATTGGTGCTCTCTCCATCATCAAATGTACAGAAGAAGAAACTGGAGCTTTAAAAGGTTATTTCAAGGTCACTTGGCTAATGAGTAACAGAGCAAAGACTTTGAAACAAGGTCTATCTGACTCCAGAGCTCTTTAATTATTAAGTGAAATGCCTTTATCTCTATTCCCTCAAAGACAACAGCTTACTTCAGGGATTGGATGATTTCTTTGATGTCTGCATCTCAAGAGCAATCTCTCTTTTGACTCCCCAACATTAGTATAGGTTACTCATATAGGGTGACCATTATTAGATTACTAGGGAAGTCTGCTTCTCTGTGTCCTCTTTTCTTCCTTCCTCCTTCTCTTACTTCTTTCCCTCTCTCTCTTATTTATTTCATCCATATGTGTACTTATTCATTTAAATAAATATTTGAGCTCCTTCTCCATGCCAGGCGCTGTTAAAGGTGATGAGAATGTGAGAGAAGAAAACAGGGCCTGATTCTTTAGAGATTCACATGCTAGTGAAAAAGAGAGACATATAAACAATATAAAGCAAAACTGAGAAGGAAAGAGGGAAGAGATGGAGAGAAATGTGAAGATTTTACCACATATACTTCTGTGCTATTTAACTTATTTACCACAAGAATGCATTGATGTAATACCTGTATTCAGAAACGTTCTTGCGCCCAAAGTCTCACCAGATTGTGATCTATGCAAGAACTCAGCAAGGTAAGAGCTTGCCTAGAATGGGTTGGACCATTTCCATTTACAAAAGTCCTTCTCTTATTTTAACTTCTAAAAGGAAGGATTATCTTTGTATTCCTCTGGCGAAGATGGCAGGCAATATAGGTAAATGAATACATGGATGATTTGCTAGAAAAACTGAGTTTTTTAATGAGTATTTTCTGAAAAAAAAAGAAAAAAACACCAAACCTCAGAGCCATGAGCAGAAGTGAGAATCAATTAGAAAACGCTGACTTACTATAAAGCTTTTCCTTTTTGACTGGTGGAAACTTGGATCTGTAATCATGAGAGTATTGGATACAGTACTCTCAAAGTACACCAAGGCCCTAATTGAATACCTTCATTAGGAATAGGAGCTTTACTCTCTAGGTGAAACTTTCAAATCTTTCCCAGATCACCTACCCCCATTGACGCACACTAAGGAGAAAACAACCATCAGACACTGCCAGTTCTTCCTATAATCCTGAGAATTCATTTCCCCTCCCTGGGCCACTGTTCCTTCTCTTTCTCCTCCTTGTATGTCTTATCCACGTGGGATCAGGTAAGCTGTGGATCCAACTGGTAGGATGACATGGTGGATGACCTTGGAGCCTAGAGTAGGGCCAAGTGGATTCATGTCCAATGATGCATTGAAATATGTAACAACTGAAAAGTGTCACAAGTGAAAGATCTTCCATTTTACAAATAAGAAAAGAGAAGCTTAAGGAAATTAAAAAGATTTTCCCAAGATTGACCTTAACTAGTTGGTAGTAAACCTATAACTAGTAATGGTGATAGATAACATTTACAGGGAGTTTTACATTTTACAAATCATTTCCATGTGAACAACAACAGCACTAATAATAACAGCAAATAACATCAACCATTTCCTCATTACCAAACACCACAAGAAAACTTTTAACATACTATCCCACACATGTTCCTCATAACAACATTTATGGTGTATACTTTTTAGCCCTGCCTTACAGATGAGGCTAAGAAATGAAGTAAATTGTTTAAAGTCAGGCAGATTGTATATAGTGAAGCCATTGACTCAACTCCAATTGGGTTTGGATCCAAAGAACATGCTTTTATTAAATATTTAACAATCCCAGAAAATAGGTGTATTCATTAAATGATGTATAAACAACGAATGTTTTATATGAGTATGATCCATGCAATAATTGGAACATACATCTGCCAAAAGATTATATGTTATCTGAAATTCAAATTTAACCTAATGTCTGGCATTTCACCTGGCAACACTATGCACATGTCAGCACGTGCCAGGTTATATTGTGCTGACAACCTCGTCCAAATCTTGGCATGTTAAACGGTTTTAATCTTGCTCAAATGACACAAGCTCATCAGGGACACAAGGCTGCTCTGCTCACCACAGCTGCTCAGACCCAGCAGATGGAGCAGTCACCATAGTGAACGTTGCTGGTCACTGTGTCAAAGGAAAGAGATCTGAGCAGTCTCACCTTGGCAATTAAGGGCTCCAGTCCTGAAATAACACATCACTTCTGCTCAAATTTCATTAATCAAGCAAGTTTTATGGCCCCACTCAATCATACAAAAGATAAATCCTACTTTGTTTCAAGAAAATAAAGAGCCAGACCTATTTGGTGAACAACATAATGAAGGTAGACAGACAGATAGATATACATGCACATGTAGATGTGGATATGGATATGGACATAGATCTAGATTTAGATATAGGTATAAAATAGAAAATATAAGAGTAAATATATATGATTTACATATACAATTATTTTTATCCTACCTTCATATGAAAAATAAGGAATATTTGCAGCTCCCAAAGGAAAATTATTGTTGTGCTAGAGCAGGAGTTAGAAGCCAAGTCCCCAAATTCCTGGTTGAGTTTGCTTTCCATCAGAACATAGTGCCTTTACCAGCCATCAATTCTGATGGAAATTCTTCTTATTCATTGTTTCCTCGTGCCTGTTTGTCATTCTCTCTCTTGCTCTCTTGACTTTAGACATTATTCAGGTTCTCTCTACTCTCATGTTGCTTTCTGAATTGCTATAGTCAACCCTCTTAATTTCTTATCACTTTCTTTCCAGCTTAACTCACAGGAGCATGAGGAGATGGGTGCTCATTAAGTGCCATGGCTGTGGCATTTAAAATATCACAATTTAGGAAACAACTCTAATTGTATGGAATATGGGAAGCAAAGTATTCAAAAGAATCCCCAGTCCATTACTTATTGTCTACTTTGTACTATATACTTGTAAGATTCTGTCCTTTTGAAAAAGAAGTCACTTTAGGAAGCTTTAGGAAGAGCATGTGAAATGAAGCATATCCCTAATCTCATGTCATTTCTTTTTGTTGTTTCTTTTGCTGTTCATAGTCAACAGGTAGATGAGAAGACACTCAATGTCACTAATAGCAGGGAAATGCAAATCAAAACCACAATGAGATATCACTTCACACCTGATAGGATGGCTATAATAAAAAAATAAAAGATAACAGATGTTTGCCTGGAGAAAAGGGAATCCTTGAACACTGTTAATGAGATTGCAAATTGATACAGTCATTATGGAAAACACTATGCAGGTTCCTCCAAATCTAAAAATAGAAATACCATGTGATCCTGCAATCTCACTTCTGAGTATGTACCCAAAGAAAATGAAACCAGGATCTCAAAGATATATTTGCACTCCCATGTTCATTGCAGTATTATTCACAATAGCCAAGAGATGGAAACCACCTAAGCTTCCATCATGGATGAATGTATAAAGAAAATGTATATCTATACAATGAAACATTATTCAGCATTAGAAAATGAGATCCTTCCATTTGTGACAACATGGAGGTACCTGGAGGACATTATGCTAAGTGAAATAAGATAGAAAGGAAAAGAAAAAAAACTTGATGCTGTCACTTATATGCGGAATCTAAAAGACTAGAGTACATAGAAGCAGAGAATAGAAAGGGGGTTACTGGGGACAAGGAGGTGAGGGAATTGGGGAGATTTTGGTTAAAGGGTACAAAGTTATAGTTATGTCAAATGAATAAGTCTAGAGAGCTAATGTATAGCATGATGACTATAGTTAATAATACTGTACTGAATACTGGAAGTTTCCTAGGAGAGTAGATTTCAGGTGCTCTCACCATACAGACAAAAGATGGTAATTATGTAAGCAAAATATATGTTAATTAGTTTGACTGTAGTAATCATTTCAACTTTTATAGGTATATCAAGTCATCATTTTGTACACTTTAAATATATATAATATTTATTTAAAAATAGAATAAAATAAATACACTTGAAAACTATGAAATGCTGTTTGAGGACTATGAAATGTTAATAAATGTGGATTCACAGGCCGACTGAAAAATATGTTCTGGAGCATTAAGGGGTGCTTTTATGATCCTGGTAAATTCAGTTTTATTTCCAACATTATCAAGTGAATGTTAGTGAGGAATTTAGTTATCTGCAAGTTATTATTCCTTTTCCTATGAAACATATGAATTAAACCTAAAACGATAGTCTGAAAAAATCCAATGACATTTTTCACAGATATAGAAAAAACAATTCTAAAATGTGTATGGAATGTTGAAAGACCCTGAATTGCCAAAGCAATCTTGAATAATAAGAACAAAACTGGAGACATCACACCTCCTATTTCAATTATATTACAAAGCTATAAACAAAAAATTATGGTAGTGTCATAAAAACAGACACATAAACCAATGGAACAGAATCAAGTGCCAAGAAATAAATCCACGCATTATGGTCAAGTGATCTATGAAAACAGTGTCAAAAATATGCCATGGGAAATGAAAGCCTCTTCAACCTATGGTGTTGTGAAAACTGGATCCCCACATGCTGAAGAATGAAATTGGACCCTATCTTACACCACATACAAAAATCAACTCAAAAGGGATTAATGACTTAAACATAAGACCTGAAACCATGAAACTCCTAGAAGAAAACACAGGAGACAAGCTCTGACATTGTTCTACCAATGATGTTTTCGAGTTGACGCCAAGAGCGCAAGCAACAAAATCAAAAACAAACAAATGGGACTCCCTCAGACTGAAACGTTTCTGCACAGCAAAGGAAACACTGAACCAACTGAAAAGATCATGCTCCTTTAATGCTCCATTTATCTCCTGAGGCTGAGAGGATGACAGTAGCTGCACAGGAGGCTGCAGTTTGAAAGAGAGTTAGTCTACCCTTGGGCTGTTGTAGAAGGTCTGGGCATGTTTTCAGAACACCCTGGGATGGTGTGAGTTTAGTTGCAAACACGGGCTTTTAAGAGAGGCTGATTTTCTTCCAAGTTACATCTCAGCTACTTGGTGGTTTGTGGCTTTGGACATGACCTTTAACCTGTCTAGGTCCAAGAATCTTCTTCTGTAAACTTGGATAATGCCTGCCTAGCCAGTTTGTTTATGAGAATTAGTGAGATATCTTGTACAAAAGTTGCCATAAGCAAAGCCAGCTGCTGAGAATGGCTCACTGCAAAATAAAAATGGTAGGACGTCTTGTCCAAAGAGCAGGAAAAGAAAGTCTTGTTAAAGGCAGTGAGATATAAAAATTTTCTTTAACAATACTTAATGCATATAGACTGTAATAGCAATAGTAGTTATACAGGAAAAACATACACTTACAAATCACAAAAAGATAGTTTTGGTATGATAATTTTAGTAGAATAAATAATAGTACTTTAGAATTGGGATATCTGATAGATCATAAAATTTTCTGGCCCACTTTTCTGCAAATTCATTTCCAATGATCAAAAGTTATACCTTAAGCAACTTCATTTTTACTTTGAGAAGAATCTGCTGATGCAGCTGAGTGTTGAGCGTTCTGTAAACTATGACAACATTGGGAGAAATCATTTGGAAATATAAACTTTGGTACATCCAGAACTGGTGATTCTTTTTTTATTTTAAAACTTTTTATTGCGGTCTATAGAGCTGGTGATTCTTATGAGACGATTTTTATAAAATGATTT